CGCAACTCCGGCAAACCATGACTCTTTACGATAGCTCACATAAAGATCATGGCAAACATCGGTAAAAACTTTCACTGGCCTTTGGCTGAATGTTTGTAAGAAATGTACCAACCGGTAACAAAACCACTGCCCTCTGCCTGAATAATGATCGTAACTGAATACTAATGATGCAGCAACACACTTGGTTAACTTGTAAAAATTTAGAGCCTTCAGTTGTTTGCCCATAAAAAAATTTTGGAGTGTTATACAGTACGATTTCAAAACATTCTCATCGTAAAGAAACAGCTATAATATTGAAAACAAACAACTTGAAACAAAATCGGTGTACGGATTTAAATAAATATTTACAATAGATTTTAATGGTCCACTTGTTATCAAATTTTACGACCAATGTTTTACATACATCTGTGAGTGACGGTGTGTAATAGACATGTAAAACAAACATTAGCGGTTAGCAGTACAGTATAATATCTTTGAATATCAGACTGATTCATTCATATGCTTGGTCATCTTGTAATCATTTAGAATTCAACAATTTTTACTAGGTCCGTATTTTTACACTCCTAGACGTAGTATCAAATTATAGTTGCCATAGACCCGGTTTCATACACGCTCGCTTAAGTAAATTTCAAAGGAAACTGTTTTCTCAATTTTTCTTATTGTTAAATACTCCTATGCAATACTGTAGGCCGCTCTGGTATAAAATTGACAGATCATTTAGACACTGCAAAGATCGATTATGCCCTTTTATATAATAAGGCCATTAGGTCTAATGTGTGGTAAGTACTGACTGTTAATATCGAATGGGTAAAATTGCGCACAAACTTCAAACTCTTGGCCTAACATACAATGCCAGAGGAATGGATGTCACGTTTTAATCACCGAAAATGATTTTCCACGGACGCACAGAGTAGGTCTTCTAATATTATGACCCAAAGCGAACGAGTTTCTGGTCTCGAAAATCCAGACACTTCGTTGAGGCTTATACAGTACAAACAGTATATGATTCATTGAAAAAGCTTTAAAATTAAGGACTTTTAAATGAAGTTTATGTATATACTAATATTTTGTGAATCTTGGGTTTTTAAAAGCAATCGTGAGATATTTAGACCCAATCTTGAATTTTGATTTTCCCTAGTGGTCACGCTGCATTTAGAGACAGAAGTATACCCGACGACATCAAACTAGTGTAGGTCCTAGGCTTAAGTACAGTAGGACGTACTACTAGGCCTAGGCTGTTGTAAAAGTTGAAGTACATGTACAGGATGCGCCATAGGCCTATATTTAAAAATAATACATTTTGTTAATTATTATTGGTTGGTCTGAGACCTAGGTAGGAAGGCCAGCTTTGCCGTCGAAAGTCCAGGTATTCGACGATGACGTCAGTGCACATGTTTTGAAACGCCATTGATTGGAATGAAAATAGACGTGCTGAATTTCGTTTGTTTTTAAGATAGTATTAATCGAACATTTGGCTTGAAATGTCCAATTTGAATGAATGACCCCTCACTTTAAAGATCACATACTCGGGTATCTAAAAATACCAATAACTTGAATTTCAATTCTTGCTACAACTTAGCCATTTTGCCACAACATGCCTCATTTATCTATATAAAAACAAGATTAATATTGTAGAAATTGTATTTCTAAAGATTCATATATAATTCATATTTCATTTGGTAGACAATAAATATTCAGTATGATACTAAAAACGATTATTAATTCTGAAATGTGCATCAAATCTCAGCTATTATTAATCAGTTTGTATTAGGTTAAAGTCTTAAGAATCAATGCAACATGGAAAATGAAACTCCAAGTAACATTAAATTATTCGATTTATATTAATGAAAGGTAGGCCTAATAGGTATCACATTAAAAAAAGTTGATTATGTTTATTTGAATTTAGTTATTTTTTTCCACAAGAGCTGAACAAATGTCTTTAAATAATGTACATAAAATATTTTATTTTTTAACTCACCAGAATATATGCAATCACATTTTGATTGCATAAACATTAATGCAATTTTTTTTTTGGAAACTTTTACCTAGTCATTTAAAATATTTATCAGACCACATCATATTTAAAAGGGTTATAAAAAAGCATTTAATGGATAGGATGGAATTTTTTAATTGTATATAACATATTTATTAATGTAAAATTTTGTAATATATAAATACAAATAATAATTTGTGTAAATAATATGATTAAATAACAAAAAAATCTGAAGTATAAAAATTGTTAATATGTATAGTTTAGGTCAGATATTTGCAAATTAGTAATATTTTATAAAATATTTAAATGTTTTATTTTCCTTTATTGTATTTTTATTTTCATTTTAATGTTTAGTTGAGGACCCCTTTTGAAACAAGCTTTCCATGCTGGTATGTCAATTTTGTTTATTTGTAAATGTCAAGATATTAAGGTGTTGGACTATATAATTTTAAATGACTCTCAAATTCACACCCAAATCTGAATCGTCACCAAAATTTGAACATTTCTTCCTTGTAACTTCTCTCATAAGGTTTCATTCAGATCAGTTGATTAAGTGTCTAAGTATCTGGTCTAAGACATTTTCCTTTAAACAGTCATCATATCCAACCCGTTTTTGAAATATTCGGTGCGGTGAGGGATATGTTTGCCTTTAAAATCCTTAATTCTGGTCCTCACATCGACAGTGGTCAGTGCCCACTCCTAGGAAATGCCATCCAATACACCAACGAAAAGTTTTTTTTTTCGTCGTATTAAAAGAGTGTCGTTTTTTCCTTACTATTACTTTCATCCATTTTCTTTTTGTATCTTAGACCACAGAGACGAAGTTATACTGTACGTCTCAGATCTAACCCCAGGGCTCTATATTATACAACTGACTGAAACTTCACATATAGTGGAGCTGTGGCTAGGCTAGAAAAGCTTGTAGGCTGTAGCTGGGAAATCATATTAAATGATATTTAAATCACGTTTGTTGAGTGTGTAGCACCGTAAATAATAGATAAAATAATAGCAGTGCTCGAAGGAACATGTTGTAACAATCTTATGTAAAGAGGCGGATATTCCCAGGTTCAAGTCCCAGAAGAGGCTGAGTTTTTTTGCTTTCTTTGTAAGATTCCTCTTCTGTTACATAAAGTGAGAAGTCAGTCAACAATGATAGAGCGATTAGGCTAGGTGAGGTAAGGCAGTTAGATAAATAAACAGCGTCCAAAAAGAAAAATAAAAAGTCAAAACTAAAGTTTAGATGCACGCCTCTATGAAAAGACCAAATGATGTATACATTAAATTTTAAATGACTTTGGAATAATTTACTGTAAGGGAGACCGTTCCTAATATTGAGTTCAAAATGTGTTATGGGTTAAAGCAGGGGTGGGCATAAAAATTGATCAGTGGGCCAAAGTGAATTTTTGATTCGAACCCAAACATTGTTGTTCCAGTGTGCTTCCAAAAACCTCCAAGAAATGCTTTTACAATTTATTTTCAATTTTATTTTACTTTTTACATAATATAATCGGTGTCGGGCCATAAAAAACAAGGTGTTTTCTGGCCAATGCTGCTTGGCGGGCAGCACACATAGGGTTTTAATTCATTTTCGCGTGCCGTAGAAAAATCACCGGAGGGCCGCATATGGCCCACGGGCTGCACTTTGCTCACCTGTGGGTTAAAGTAAGCGTTCCAAGTGATTTTCTTTATCCTTAATAACTTTAAAATTCGCAATTGCAAATGTATTCATAACTTCAGTTAAATATAATCATAATTATATTACTATATTACATATATAATATTATATTATACTATAAATATATTATGTTATATATATTATAATATATAAACATATATATACATATATATTATATATATTATATATATTATATATTATGTATATTATATATATTATATATATTATATGTATATTATATATATTATATATATTTACAATTATGTATTGGCCTGGTTCTTAATAGGTGGTGCCCAAATTTGGCCAGCCATTAATTTTATTTGGCTCGTGAGTGAAAATATAATTTAAAAATATTCAAAACATTAAAAGTTCGATAAACACGTTTTCAATAAAGTAAAGATAAACTTTCAACCCCTGGGTAATGTGCACGGGATTGTTTGAAAATGAGCAAGATGATATAGGCCATTTATTTGTGAATTTTCTTTCCTTTAGTTAATCCAGTGTCAATTTTTTATAAGTAAATGTTATTTTTACCTACAGACTTGACATGTTTCGCCTCTTTGCAAGAGGCATCGTCAAATCGTCAAAAACAACTATGAACTATCTAATGGTAAACTTCTTCAAAACGTCGGAATAGGCCTATAAATTCTCAGCTTCTAAACACGATAGCTAGTTTTCAACTGTTATTTTTTAATACTCGTGGTGGGTGATTAGACTGTTTAATTACATTACCAGTAAATTATAATAACGTACCGTATATAAGCTGCCTAGTTATTACTCCAGGATAAATAATACTCTTACTTATTTTTGGTAAAACTGAAATCGAATTTCCTATCAATTTTTGAGCTCCCTCTTAAGCCACATTCACACCGATTCCGAATTTTTCGATCGGAAATCCTATCAGTGTGTAAGAATATGGACGCTAACGTTCAGCGTATCTGAAACTCGCTCCGAATTTTGTTTCGAATCCTATGTAAATGAAGCTTTAGAAAATAAAATTAAATATATAATTTTAGTGAGACAGCAATTCTCATACCTTGTATGCCGGTTATTTTGCACATTGCTCCAAAGCATGGCGCTTCCATTTCAAAATTCCGGACCCCCTTCTCATAAGCGCGATGGAGGTAATCCATCTTTTCATCTTTAGAATATTTACACACGGCACCATCTAGGCGTCCTTGACCTTTAAAAACAATGTTTAACACAAAAAAATGCTAGTCGGATTCAGTGGTGTAGCTAGAACATGTGAGGTACTAGCTAGCGTCCCCCTCACTTAAACATCGAGCCCACCTTCGCACCAATTCATTCAAAAATAAATTTGACTTTCATGTAGGCCTATGTGTCCACATAACTGTTTAGTATCATTCAATTATGATGTTCTAGTGATTTATGTCCAAGCATAATACTGGAAAAACGCATAGCCTAGCTAATGCAATTAGGCCTATATATACCAAAACTCAATTATGTACGTACAGTGACAAGCAACCGATTCCAGCACATATTTTTCATTACAAAGCACGTTTTATTTTTGAAAGGGGAGTTTTAAAGTGATTCTCTTACGAGGTTACGTCATAATAATTTTTCGACCCGCGACCACACTACTGCGTCTTTTGAAAAACAAAAACATCCGCAGTTAAAGAAATGTGTTCGAGGACATCGGCCTTCGTCGGGAGCATCCAATCCCCTCCCATCCCCTCAGGAAAATTCTGATGCCATCCCTGGTTTCCAAGAACCGCCTTTGTAAAATAATATCTCTAATTACACATACATTCGTAAAAACCAAAAGTGCCGATTGTATTTCCTTTCACAACTTTGAAATTGTCACTCTCATGTTTGCAACCCAGCAGCGCATTCATTAGATCCTCACTCAGCTCTGTGTTTCTCTTTACCATCTTGCCTAATACAGCCTGAGAAAAAAATCAAACTGGTGAAATTGTTTCTTTAATTATAGGCCTAACATATGCAGGTATCCCACCCCCACATCTTCCATGATGAGTATATTCACAACTTTTCCCAGTATACTTTGATCTAATAGTATGAATATCAATCCAAAAAATCAACAAGACTATAAGAGACAAACTATAAACAATACTTTATCGTCATAATAAGATAATTGCCTCATTTAAAATGCATATTAATCAGGATTTCTGGTAACTTGTACGGTAACTAGGCTATATAGTGTGTCTCATTGTATTATGTATTATTGCTGTTGATGCTTTAAATAAAAGCAAAAAAATGGTCTTGTCATTTTCGGAGTGACATTCATACTATTTTGTAGGCCTACTAAAAGTTAGTGAGCATCCAGAAATGTTTACTGTGATCTAGGCCGTATACAAATATATTTTGATGAAACATAATTGAAAAAGGTAATTAATGAAATGAAATAGACTGTTGTAAACTAAATTTTCCAAAACAAAAATATAGGGACTAATAATAACATAATAACATTTTTTCTTAAGACTGGACAAAAATTTATTGAGCTACATAAAATTATGAGGTAATTACTTTAATGTGTTTTTGTTTTATGGTTTAAAACTCCTTCATACACCAGTTCTTATCCTCATAATTAAGGAATCTAAG